CACCAGCGGTCTAAGCACAGGTACAAACCCTGCGATACTGTACCCGCTTAACATTTTCGGTAAAGTACTAAACGCCGCGACGAGAACCACACCAGCGAAGTCGACCCCCTCGCGGAGTGTGTACAGTTCTGAAACACCTGACGCTACTGCTGTGCCTAGGGAGTGGCCTAGCAATACTATGCGAGAGGGTGGGATGCCGGCTGTTTTGATGGCGAAATCGATGGCTGTTGCTGCGTCTAGGATTAGGCCGGTTTCTGTGGGGGAGCCTGTGCTGTGTCCGAAGCCGCGGTAGGAGAGGGCTAGGACGTGGTAGGTTGAGGAGGAGGACGAGAGGGTGTGGTAGAGGCGGGGACGGAGGGACTGGAGGAGGTGGCCTGCGTTTCCGTGGACTATTTCATGGGGAAGGCATGTGAGCAATGGAAGTGGAAGTGGAGGCGATGAAGGGGCACGAACAGCTGATGATTAGTCTTGAGGTGGGGTCATCACGGAGGAGTTTGAAGTTTTGGGTTCCGGTGATGTCTTGAATTGAACCGGTTGGTTGAGTGGTTAGGGTGGCTTCGTGTTGGTGGTAGACGGAAAGGGGCAGGATGTGCCATGCGTGGAGGGTTTGGTTGTCTGCTGTGGTTAGGGTGAAGGGTGTTGCTTGGTTTTCTTTTTTTTTTTTACGTGGGTTACAATATCAGCATTGGAGGAACAAAATCTGGATAGTTTGGAGGATTTGTTACTGACTGGCGAATCCCCATCTCTCAGGTTCATTGAGGTTGACCCCCGGCCACCATATGGTGGAAAACTTGTGTGCATACAGGAAGCTGACATTGATCGTCAGCCATGTACTATGTATGTACAGCCCCTGTCTAAGAAATTTGGTGCTTGAGAGCCTTACTGCCGCTGGAAAAAGGGAATCGCGCTGAGACTAAGGAATAAGCCATATATCGCCAATGGCACACCAACAGTGATGCCGACGGCGAGATATGGCGCTTTATTTGTCATTTTGGTGGGTATGGACTTCAAACTTTTCTGCTTTCCCATGATTCATATCAGGCACAAGAAAGGTTTATAATTCATATTCGACCTTTGATCAAAACTTCTTTCCTCCCGAACATGTGCCCAGGCTGGGGGAGGAAGCTGCCGTGCCACGCAAACACGAGCTGACGTTGCTGGTTGGAAATCAGTGGGTCAATAAATACAGTGCGCGAAGCATCAAATTGGTCAATCAAGTGCTCCTCAGAAGGGAATCAACACTGTATTTTCGGCGTGTGAGAACGGGATCGTCGCGAAGAATTACGTCTTTTAACGCGTGCAGCCTGATCCAAGGTAGTTGGCAGTTAGCGACCCTAACGTGCAGGAAGATGCCAAGATCAAGGTCCACCAGGCACCAGTCAGCCGCAAGACCCATCTCAGCACTGTTGTTATCAAAAAGACATCTCTCAATCTGGAATCGTCAAGAAAATACGAGGATATGAGAATCTGACAAAAAGTGAGGGAATTGGATTGATAAAATTACTCCCCCTACAATGGGTGTTGTTATTCTTGTTGGTGCGAGTCATTTTGACGGTGTAAAATTCGGAGAATTAGTTCCCGTAGATGAGAAGGGGTTTTTGAACTTGATGAACGGCTTGTTGCATCCCATTTCTCTTTTCGTTGGCCGCGCCGGCAATTCATCACGCCAAAGAAAGGCTGTCAAGGATTTGCAGCGGTTTTGCCATTCAACCAATCAAAGGCCCTTGCCGAGCTGCCTTCCGACAAGGTCTACCTTAGCGCTCCGGACCTCTCTTCCAAAGGTTCCAAAGTCCATTTTCTATTGGGGTCCGTTCCTTCTTCTTCGCCCAGCTGCAACTCGCAACTGGCATCTCACCACCCACAGAGTACGGCAGCACACCATGACAGCACATTCCTCGACGGCGGTCTTCCAAGCTTGTCCATCGTGTCTTCGTTAAGCCTTCATATCTGATCTGACGTTTTCGCATCAACAATCCTATTCAACATCGCAAATCGCGAGCCTCCACGATATCGATCAGCACCCGAAACTTCCACCTTGTCGCGACTCTGATGTGTTCATGACAAGTTCACCCGCTCATTTGCACGACCGCTTCGGACAGCCGACACGATGGATAAGAATTTAAAAAGGAAGCTTCCGGCGCGCGCTGCTGCTAGGGGTGAGCAGGCTGCGAAAAGACGAAATATTACACCTTCTCCTGCACAGAATTCCAAGTCGTCAACTCCAACACCCGCGCCAGAGCCAGAGCAGACTCCTGTAGAAGATGCCCCTCCGCCACTGCCCAAGTCTGTGACCGCAGGCAAACCTCTGCCGACGGTTGACTCGCCTCAACCCGATGATCTTCCCAACAAGGATTACCAGACAGTCACGGAAAGGTACGCTTGGTCGCTACACGTGTGATCTGGGCGCAGGCTCACAAGAAACTGACAATTATTTCTTTCATTACAGTGGCGTTCTCTCTGAATCTCTTACGCGATCGCGACAGACATGGATCACAGACGGCATTTTCGAGAAATACTGGTCGAAGCCTACAAAAAAGAAGGGAGTTGTGATTGAGGAACCCAACAACCCGCCGAAAGAAAGCATGACGAAGCTCGGCCAGGTGACCATAACGGTTGAACCACACGTTTTCGAGGCGACCATGTACGCTGTCAAGGACCCGAAACCTCCAGCGCCCCCAACGCCGACAGCCCCGAGGCCGATCTTGCAATACGGTCCTCCCAATGGAGTGATGCCGCCTCCGCCAACCCCAAAGCCCACACAACCCGTGCAGCCCACACCCGCTGCTGCGGTGACGGCTTCTACACAACCACCAGAAACCCAGGCGAGAGCTGAAGCGAAAGCTGAGGCGAAAGCTGAGGGGAAGGCCGAGGCGAATCCCCCGGCCCAACCACCACCGCAACATCAAGCCCCGCCTTCGATCGTATCGAATGCTCCGGCACTTTTAGTAGCAGCGCAGATGCAAGCTGGACAGCAGGCACCTACACAGCCTAATCTTGCCGCACCACCGATTCCGGTTGTAATGCCAAGGCCAGTTGCTTCTCCCAGAGGGATGGAGTCTGTTCTCTCTCCCACCGCAGTCACGCCGCAACCACCGAGACCCCCGGCGGCAATGACTCCCGCAGCAACACAACAGTCGCCGTACGCACCCGCAGTGGCTAGCCCAGCTCTTCCGAAACCGCCTGTCAATGGTGCATCAGCAGCCACGGCCGCCGGCGCCTCAGGGAAGCAACTCGCAAACACCGATCCGATCATATTGTTGCTGGCAGAAAGGGCGGGTACAGATCCTACGTTGAGAGATCTCATGAAGAAGGTTGCGCAAGGAGATGCCTCAAAGCCCGAGCTAGAGCGCTTTCAGGGCGTGATCGATGGTCTAGCTCATGAGACCAGGCGAAAAGGGGCAAGTGGCCCACCGGCAGATAAGCTCTTCGTGGATGGTCGTTCGGTTCGGTACTTTGCCGACGAGGTCCGTAGCATTCTCGACATCGTTCTAAGATCGAACCCGAAACAAACGTCGGCTGACTTGAAGCCGCCGGCCGACAGCGATCCGCTGGTTGTGGGACTGGTCAAGGAGGCACTCGACGACATCAAGATCCGAGAGATGGTGCGGCGGATAGCTGAAGAGACGCCACAATTCTCAGACTCGAACACTCTCAAGGCAACTCTAGAGCGTCTGCATGCAAAGCTCCGGGAAAAGCAGGTCCAGGCGCAAACCAAATCTCCTGTATCAGCCACAGGTTCGGCAGTTCAAAAGCCCAATATTACTCCCAACGGCACCGCTTCAGCGTCGTCAACTCCAACACCTCAACCACAGCAAGCGTTGCGATCCAAGGGGCCCCCGCCCCCTCCCAAGCCGGATATCTCAGCCATCGTGTTTGAGTTCACGGGGGGCTCAGGAGACAGATATTTATTCCCGAAGTACAGCATTCTGGAGCAAGTTCCCATGCCACAGGGCCCCGGACAACAGGTAATCTGCTCCTTTTTGCTTGTACGGAGAGGCAGCAAATCCGAATATCCTCAAGCAGATCCCGAGATGGACTACTACCAGCCAATAACAATTCGACTGTTTACGCCAACCGGACGACATCTGGACCATCTATCCCGTGTCGTGGCGCCGCAGGAAGACGTAGTACGGTACATGGACGATGTGATGGATAAGATGACAAGGGCTGAGTATATTTTGCTGGCGATGCGGTTACCGAGGAAGGATGGGACTGAGACTGATGAGGCGGACTCGGGCGCAGTCACTAACGGAATTGCCCCTGCCAGAGAAAAGGAGACTGAGGCGGCCAGTGATAAGGACAAGAAGGGAGCGCAGAACCCAATGGCAGGAGTTTTATGGGCTACCAAACCTCCCAGGGTGGAGATGAGGGAGTTGTCCTCTAGGACGAGGGTTTACAGCGGAGATATGGATTTGGATGGCGGGGATGAACAGTATCAGAGCTTCATCTCGACTGTCACAGGGAAGGGAAGTCAGGATTAAAAATGGGTTGTACTGGATACCATCGTTACTACTGTATCATTTTATTTTCTTTGTAATTTCTTTTCATTCGGCTGATGGGAGGATATTGGGCACGGACAAACATGGCTCTTTTCTTTATTTCTTTTGAGCTGAGAGATTACTACTAGGTTACCTACTGTTATTTTATGGATGGTTGAAGACGGTTTGGCAGCGGTTCAGGGCTAAAACGGAGCGGTATGCTTATCTAAAAGACTTTTTTTATTATTATTTTTTACACGCGTTTTATTCGATCATTGCGCAAACTGGGCCTGGAGTGCATGTCTCTAACTTGTTTGCCTGTGTTCGACAACTTACGCCCCGGGTTGCACTCGAGCCTGGCGCCCAGAATAACGCTTCTCCTGTTTCCCGCAAGCCTATGTATGTCTGGATACCTACCCGGTGTTAAAATATCAACTGGGAAAAAGAAAAAGAATTTGGTAGTCGTCTTCAAAATGGCAAAAATACAAATGAAATCATCGGTGGATGATTGACTTGTTCAGACGTCACCTGCAGGATTCGAACCTGCGCCTCCGAAGAGACGAGCTGGAGCTTATCACGTGTTTTGATCATGAATAGCAGGCCCGCGCCTTAACCACTCGGCCAAAGTGACTTGTAGTCTTGCATGTCACGGTTGTTGATTGACCCACCGTGAGCGGTCTCTTATAGAAGCCGCTGCATGCCCGCACCGCACCCACCCACACCCACCACCCCGCATTGCCCCTCCTCTCCCCGTCCCCGTCCCCCTCCCTTTTTTTGAAAGAAACTGCCTGACATGAATGCGGCTGGCCGACCGTTTCCCGCGGGGACTGTGACCTCTCTCCGCATTATGTGTGTGTGCCAAGAAGGGGAACCAATTACATTTCTTTTGCTTATTTTCTTTTCTCAGGCGCCGCGGAAAGAGAGGTACTATGTACTATGTACAGTACATGGTGTCGAGAGATAAGCTATGCATGATGCCCGTGCGGCCGAGCTGGAAAGTTGCACATTGGCACATGTGGTGCCAGTGTGGCTTGCATTTCTTATCTTGTCAATTCATTTACCCCGTGTTGTGTGTGTCGGTAAATGTGTCCTGGACTTCATTTCCCTTTTTGCTTAATTTTGTTGCTGTTCCTTGCTAAAAAACGACTGGCAACGACAATTGAAAACCAGATATGGATCATCCGGCACTTCCCGAACTCGAAAGGGTAGAAGTCCTCGTCGACGGCCTTGCGTGCGCTTGTGAGGCTGCCTTGGATTTATACGCCGAATGGGCGGCGAAGCGGCTTGCCACTGCTGAGAATGATCGGTATTACAGACCGAACAGTGAGATCAAGTCGGTGGCCACTGCCCCGATCAAGTGCGCTGCTAGTATTTCGCTGGAGATGTCGAGCTACAGGATCAGGTCGACTTATCAGATCGGGTTGACTCTTATCGGGCCTGATTTTGCTGATGGTGATGGTAATTATAACATTCACATTACACTACTACACACACTCTCATAACCTGGATCCTTGGCGTTTTGGTTTTACTGATGACCGTTTTCTTTTTTTTTTTCAGTTGAATGCCGCCAATCACTTTCACACAACCTTTCTCACATTTTAAGTCGGCTCTATCATTTAAACGAGGCCGTCACAACTCGAGGGCAGCCTATCCCCTTGCCACTAAACGAACTTTACCTGTCTTCTGAATCTGTTCGACTCAAATCGGTTGCTGCCCTAGCTTTGCAGTACCGCCGTTTTGCGGTTGGGAGATCGATCCCGCAGGAGATTCCTATTCCGAGGGCGATGCCGTCTAAGCATCCCTGGGAAGAGGAAGAGGAGGATGATTACGATATTCCTCAACGTCAGGATAAAGAAGAAGAAGAAGAAGAAGAAGACGAAGAAGAAGAAGAAGAAGAAGAAGAAGAAGAAGAAGAAGAAGAAGAAGAAGAAGAAGAAGAAGAAGAAGAAGAAGAAGAAGAAGAAGAAGAAGAAGGTGCTGGTGATTATGATAGTGATGACGGCGTCCCTACCCCTCGTCTTGAGCAGAAAGAAGTTGAATTCGACGCCCAAGCAGCTATCTGGTCTACTACCTCGGAACCAGTTCCTACTTTCCAATCCGAACCGCCTTCCCCTCCTTTGACGCCCAAAGCCTCACGGTCGATACCTGTCATTAATGTGTCACCACCACCGCCGCCACCGCCGCCACCGGCATTACCTAACTCGGAGTTGCTGTCAAGACCGAGTAATGGTGTGTTTAGCATTTTCTGTCCTGTGGCTATGGGGATGCAGGTTGACCCTACCAAGTCGATACCCTCTGATGAGGTAAAGTGTGGGGTTTGCGGGTATGAATGGAGGACTTCAGGTTCTGGAGGCGGTAGCACAGGGACAGGCACGGGGAAGTTGGTGGAAGTCGGGAGGAGGGGGAGTATTTATGTCGTTCCGTTGAAGGATGGGTTTGGAATGACGGAGCGGTTTTTGGCCAAGTCGCATTGTGATTTGAAGGCGCAAGACAGGTCGGAAGCGACTGTGGGAGGGGGAGGGGCAGGGGCAGGGGGAAGGTATGGATGTGTGTTTTGTACGAGTTTGGGGAGGAGTGATTTGTTTGAGGGGGTTGAGGAGTTGAGGGGGCATGTGGTTGGGTGTCATGATAAGTGGCAGTTGTTGCATGAGAGGGATGTCGTTTAAAGGTTTTGGCCTTGGAGGGGAGCGTGGCTGGAGACAGACACATTCTTTTTCTTCTTCTTTCTTTGGTGGGGTTACTGGGTGTCTTGGTATCGTACATGTGCATATATGGTTATTGTGATAATTTGGATTTAATGGTGTTTGGGTGTTGCTTTTCGTACGTAGGGATACCCATATACCCATCTGGGTAGTTTTAGTTGAATTCAATTTCTGTTTCCATTCTTTTCTCGCTGAATTCCAAGTATACACTCTTGTTCCTGTTGCACTAAATATTGCATTTTTCCCCCTTCATTTCAGGCTCAATTTGGTCTGGTTACCCGTGGTCTCCTTCAAGTTGTTGTGTGGGTGTGTTGGCGTTTGAAGGCAGTATCGTTCCCAATCCTTCCTGAGAATAAGTAGATGATGTTCTCGAAAGTGGCACTGGCTTAAGAATGTCATATGTGCCTTCTTTATCCTGAAATGACAAGACCTCTGTGTCCATCCCAAGTTCTTCGGTGCTTATTTGCTAATAGGACAGACATGGCAGTGGGAGTCATAGTTATTGAGATTTCACTTGCTTCTCATCCACGCACCTTCCTCGCTTGGCCACTTACATTCTTCATTCTTTTTGAGACGGATCCGAGGTACCTGGGCAGGCTTCAAGCGAGTAAGTTTAATTCCGTCCTTTCATTTCAGCTCATTCGGCCCCCGTTTTACGTATTCCGACTTTCCTCATTGTCGTCACGGTTATCTTCGTTACTGCGTATTGAGTTTTATTTCTCTCCTCTCTTCGTTCTTCGCGGACTCTTTTCTTTCTCTTACTCATCAATCCCATTCTCTCCTCCATCACCAGCTTCTACAGGGTCGCCGTTCCCTTCTCTTCCTCACAGCACCACCTGCACCGTGGGTCTGGGCTTCATCAATCTTCGTCTCGACTTCTTCTCGTTGTTTCCATTTCGCTGCAAACATCAAATTTCCTAACTCCATCGACCCACTTCAGCCATCATCGGCCCGCATCATCCAAAAGAGCTCCTGCTGTGGGTGATTTTATTCACGCCGCTCTCTCAACCACCACCCTAAAGACCGCAATTCATTGAAAATGTCCAAAACCAGCCCAAGACAACGCGCCAACGCCGTTGCCCCCTCACCTCGTAATGGCAAAGCCAAAGGCAAGGTTGTCAAAGCATCCAAGGCCAAAACCGAGACCACCGTCAACCAGCGCGCCAAACCAAACAATGAAACCAAAAGCTCGTCCTCGAATAAAGTCGGCAACCTATTCATGAAGCTGCCCGCCGAGCTTCGCCAGGAAGTGTTCATCCAAGCTCTTCGGAAGCCCAACATTCATCACGTTCTCGTCAAACGCCAGGAGGACCCAGCAGATGGCACCTGGAGACCTACATTCTATCCCTTTCCGGGAAACGATGGCTCTGGCTATCGCCTCACCGGGAGCATCAAGTCGGTGTGCCCCGACAGCGAGACCGCTGTTAATCTCGGAAACTCAAAGCCCATGGGGATGCCTTTCGCCAGCAAGAGGCTGCACGAGGCGAAAATGGATGTAGAGCACGATCTCATCTGCTTCGACTTTAAGCGCAACTGGAAGGATGGCGGCTTCCGCAATTGGAACCTGGACCACCAGCATATGAGCCGCGGCCCGCTCGACCGCATGTCCATGATTACAGGACGCAGTGAGGTCCTTGGTCACGCTAAGCGCATCGCTGTCACCTACAAGACTGGCCATGCTTTCTGCAGCACCTTTGCTCCGGTTCCATTTCCATGCCACTGTCTCCGGTATGAGTTCCGTTATGCTCACCGTCATCTAAGAATCTGCCCTGCAGAGTTTGCCGGCTTCCTCGATTGTTTCCCAGCGCTCGAGGAGGTGTATATCATTTTGTACCCCGATTCTAAAAACGAAGGACAGAAAGACATGATCGAGACCTACACCAAGAACTTTTGGTCCAGTGAGTAGAGTTTAACCGCTCGCCCCCATTGATTCTTGACCGTCAATTTGCTGACTTGTGCTTCCGAATTCCAGTCCCCGAGCAGGTGCGCAAGGAGCGAGGCTATGCCGTTTTCCACGAGGCCAAGCGTACTTACATCGAACTGAAACATTGCATTGCTACTGATCGCAGACCAGACACCACCAACTCCAAGTACTACAAAAACGTCAAATTGCGGATTGATAACTATTACCCCCGCTGCGGAACGTACCCTTTGATGAAGCTCCACAACCGTGACGATGCCGACTGGATCATCCACCACGTGGAAAAGGTCTTTCGCTGCGACTGTGATCTCATGACGGCCGATGAGTTACTCTTTGAGAACCCTTCGCAATATCGCCTTCCGCGCGAGCGCCGTCTAGCTATCAAATTCAAGGTCCTCCTCCAAACCGACGGAGAGTGCAAGGGCTGGGGTCTTGATGAAAAGACTGGCGACTACTACCGTAATTTTGGCAACGAGCAAGTCGATGAGGAAGTGAAGATAAAGTTCGAGCCCTTGGATCATTGAAGGGATAGAGACTTGAGGTCTGGACTCTTTAGAGCAATCGGTGCTTTGAAGGCCCCAAACATCTTCATGACAGTGGCGGGCTGGTATATCGTGGCAAAAAGGAGTTTGCGAGATTTGCAAGTGGTTCATGACTGGATTTTTACGTCGTCCGGGAAGCCTCTTACATTAATTTGACAGGAGGCGGCTACGAATCTGTGGATCGGGAGGATCGGGGGGAATGGCTTTTTACTTACGGCGAAGGCGTGCAAAACTGGGACGAGAGCGAGTTTTGGGGAGTTGGTTTGGGTTCGTGGGTGACATTTGGCCATTTGATCTATTCGTATTAGATGATGCCCAGGGACGACAGTTCGGTCCGTTAGCGAGATTGCTTGGTTTTAGCTTATCTAGATAATAACTTAGCTTTGCTAAAATGTAAAGTGTATGTATGATTTGGAATGATGGGTCTAACCATGTATCAAAGGGGTCGTATGCTTATGGGGTTTCC